TGATAGGACCTCTAGGAAGCATTGCATGTAAGTCACGACCAATCCCAACAGACTATTGCTCAATCGATGTCAGGGGTGGGGTGAAAATTTCTACTCCTAAACACTTCAATACTCCTTTCAGATTGTGTTTCACAAAAAAGAACCAAGTAGTAATACCTATGTGTATTCTGATCTACATAACTTTATCCAAGAAAAATTAAATCAAATTTTTCGAATATGCTTTCTCAAATGACAAATTTTATCGATTCTTCTTGATATTATCTGGGCACGTGTCTGTTTATGTGACTGAACTCTTAGATTGCTAAGAAAAGCTAAGAGATAATACAGATCACTAACTGAGTTGCTAGTGCAAACTAGTTATTGTAATTATTTTTGTCTACTTCTTTCTCCCAGAAGCTTGATTCCACCCAATGCTGCTGAATTGAAATGAGATCTTTAGAACAGTCGAAATTATTTGAAAGCAGATTACAAGGTTCACATTTTATCTAATAGTCCAGTACCTGATCATTGTTCAACATTCGGTCTCAGCGTTACTGTTAGTAAATATTGGCAACAGAACTACGACCATGATCATGATGAAAAATGTGATTGATGCAAATTACTCAAAACTACTTTATATAAAATTCGTAGATTTATCCAGCAATATCAAACAGATTCAGCACAACGTGATCGTCTAACTCATCAGATGCAACAACAAGTTCAGTATATTGAAGAATGGAAAGCACATCTTTTACGTACTGTTCATCAAGGCTAAGTTAGTTTAATTTGTATGGAATACAACTTACGCACTCTACGTTCTGTCAAATTCTATAGTTACAAAAATAAACAAGTTTTCTTTAATTTTTTTAAAAATTCTGTTAAAATAACAAGTCTTTCAAACTTAGTTTAATTTTGCCTAAATCTCAATTTTGCCTGATACATATATATATGATACTATTGAAGGAGATATTTTCGAATGATATAATAACCTAAAATATTCTTGAAAATCTTCAATAGTTTTTAGTTCAAAATTTATTTTATCTTTTCCGATTAAATCGATATATGAAAATGTATACTTGATTCAAGTGAACAATACTAAAATATATTCTTTTAAAGACATATTTCTTTCTTTTAAATAAATATAATCAACTGTAACTTTGCTCAGTTTATCGATAGTAACATTTTCATATACTTTATCAACATCAGAATTCAATAATTTGTTTAAATTTGAAAATAGAATTATTTGAACAATGGATTCAATATATGTTTGATATATTTGTCTTTGTTATATTCAAATATACTACGTAGAACGTAATATTGAACTTATATCAACCATGTCTTCTCGATCTCATATTAAATGAAAACATAATGATTATATTCATATTAAACCAAAAACAAAAATATTAAAATAAATTTCATTGTTATCTGTTAATGATGCCTTATGTTTTAT